GTGTGTGTGTGTGTGTGTGTGTGTGTGTGTGTGTAAAAATGTTTTTACAGAGATTTCTCAGTCTCTTGAAGGCTCAGATCTAGTGTAGTCGCTTCCTGACCTGGCAGGGGGAATACCATGTACTTGTGTCCAAGAAGGCAGCTTTCCTGAACCACCTCACAGGACAACTGCCTTTCTGGTGTGGGTCAGTGCCCACCAAGGTGCAGCAGCTTTAAGCCCAGTTTATGAAAATAGGAGCCTCCTCCCTTGCTTGCTCCAAGGACCTTATGGCCAAGGGCAAGCAGAACTTCGGGGGGGCATCCAAACCTCAAGCCTCTGGGCTTGGGCTTGCAGGTAGGATGCCTGCCAAAGGTGTTAGAAGCATCTGAAGTCCCAGGTGCGGGTGGAGGATGTTTGCCAGTAGTAGGGCCACTTAATGGTTCTGAACCCTTGGATCTGGCATTAGTTTTGGCTAATTAGGCCTTGGACAAATTCTATATATAAAAAAATGTTTTTACGGGGGAACACCATGTATCTGGGTCCATGAGGGCAGTTTTCCTTAAGCGTTCCCAGGGATAACTGTTCTTCTGGCGGGGTTTACTACCCGCCGAGGTGTTGGGGCTTCAAGCCCACTTTATGGAAATGGGAGGTTCCTCCCTAGCTTGCTTCTGCTGAGGGCAGGCAAAACTAGGGGGCATCTGAACCCCAGGTGTCTGGGCTTGGGCCTGCACATAGGATGCCTGCCAAAAGACTGGAAATATCTGAAGCCCCTGGTGGGGCTGGAGGATGTTTGCCGGTTGTAGGGCCACTTATGGTTCTGGACTGACTCATGGATTTGGACTTGACTTAGCTGATTTCGCTTGTTAGTAAAACCTTTTTTTATATATATATTGTTGCTGGTCAGGGTGGGAGCAGGGATCTTTTGTTTCTTCACACACACGCACATGCTCCTGGCATTGCTTACAGCTCCACATGCTCTTTACACAGGCTGTGGAAAGGGTGGGTTCAAAACAAGTGTCAGGGAGTGTCTAAGAAATGGCCTCTTTGGACACACATCTCTGTACCCAGTATACTTGGCTGGGGGCGGGGGTGAACAGTCCTCCTCCTTCAGTGCATTTCAGGCAGAGGAAGGGGGGGAGGGGGACCCTACAAGCCTGGGCCCATTTGCTCAGCAGGCTCAAAATTCCCACCGAACCCAGTGCTGGCAGCTACTGGCAATGAAGCCAGTCAAGCTCTGGTTTTCCCCCCTTTCCCCAGTGCAGCAAGGATTCCCAAAACCTTTTTCTCCTCCCAGCTGGTGATTAGCTGCTAGGGTGTTTCTTATGCAGGGCTTCCAGTCATGGTGACTTTCACTTCCTCTGCCCCATGGCTCAGCCTCTGAGCCTGGTCTCGCAGCCTGCTTCCCTCTTGTTCTGTGCTCTCCACTGCTCTGTACCTGGTCTGCTCTGCCTCTACTTCCTCTTTCCTCCTGCCCTTCTTTGCAATTTCTTTCTTACAGTCTTGCCCCACACACGGTTCACTTCTCTGTTCCCTTCTCACCGCTTCGTTGTTTTCAGCCCCTTGAACACCACTGTTTCCTATTCAAACTGCCCATGCTGTGCCCTCACAAGTCCCCAACTGCCACACTTTTTCTGGGACTCTCCACAACTCTACCCCAGGCTCTTGCCAGTCTGAGCTTTCCAGTCTAAACCATTTCCCAGCCAGTTTGGAAATAATCAGTTGTCCCAAAACTTCCCCAAACTCTCTCCTCCGACCCTTGCCCAACTGTAATCCATCCCCCTAGAATTTTCTAGAAAATTCTCCAGTCCCCAACTCATGTCTGACCAAATGTTCTAGAAACTTCCAGGATCTTCTTCCTGGGTCTTGTCACTCATTAATTGCCTCCATTTTATCAAAGCTTTGGACGCTGAGCAAATCCGTTTTCTTTCTTGCCGCTCTTCAAACATAAACACACGAGTTGTACTTTTTCATGCCTGATTATTTCTTCTTATTATCATAACACCATAAGTTAGTGACAGATTGTGATAAAAACAGTCATATGTTTCACTATTGGGAAATCATTCCACTCCCAGCCCACTGTCATTACTTTATTACGAGGGCCATGGAGGCAGTTTATAGCACATTGTTTCCAGTGAATCATTAATGCCCCGGCAGATTCGATCAGTGAAATGTTCCACTCATCAGAGTGCCCGTCTTTCTGTTCACATGTGTGTGAGGCAATTAGCAAGTTGATCCTCTCAACCCTTCATCACAGCTCACTTAAAAGTACATCAACCAGGGCAGCCACATCTCTCCTCTTCTGGGAGAATAATAGTAATAATTATTTAGAAACACTTTCCTATAATCTTTTCTCACAAAAGCAATCTATGAAAAATAGGCCCAAACCAGGGGCCTTTATTCAGTTTATGGTCTTTCCTTGGGCAGAACACCCTCTTGCTGGTGGGGGCTTCAGGAGTTTGCCAAAAATTAGCGTGTATCCAGCGACCGCATTGTTCCTCTGAAAGGCAGAATGCAGTAGTGGTGTAATGTGGTGCACTGCAGTAGTTTAAGACGGGCAGAGAAGCCTGTATCCAGCTGAAAATGCAACAAGGATTTAGGCAAGAGGAATGTAATTCAGAGGCAGACTTTGATTAGGACATTGGGCATAACCAACAGCCAAGAGATTGTTAGTGTCCATGAGCCAAGAGATCAGGACTCAGAACCTCATTTTAATATCTCCTCTAAACCACACCTTTTTTTTGTTATCCACAGAGTACCCCTTAGTGCTGTGGTCAGGCATGTACCTGGCCAGCCATGACTCAAGGAAGAAATGCCATCTCCTTATCACCAACCCCAGTTCCTCCAGCAGTCTGGATTATGATGTGGAGGTCTGCCATCACAGGACTGACAGTTCAAATACTCTTCCATTCAAGCACTGACTGATTACCAGGGATCCGTGTTTTCTGTATGTTATGGAAAAACGTGGTAAAACCTGAATTTTTTCCTTCAAAGGAGAAAAGCGTGGGAACCAGTGGATTCCCCTGCAGGCTGGCAGAGTTCCAGCGTGCAAGGGACTGGAGGAAGTGGGAGGAGACCGATCAAGCAGGGGGCATTATGTGCGTGCTCACACATGCACATAGCCACCAGGCAGCCTGGAGAGCAGCTCCTGGCAGGTAAATCAGGGATGGGGGGCAGGGAATTGGGAACTGAGGCCCATATAGTGGGAGAGGGAAGGAGGGAGTTGGGCAGGGCTGGGGCTGAGGCTACTCCGCAGCTGGGGTGGTGAATGGAGCTTGGGGCCAGGGGCTGGAATATGCAGCCGCAGGACTGCAGCAGGAGCAGGACAGAGCACAAGTAGTTTGTTCAGGGTTGGGTGGGGGAGGGGGGCTGGCTTTCTGCTGCTGCACGCACTCCTGGGAGGGCATAATGGTCATGTGTCCCCCAGTTTTGTGCATAGGGCTGGGGTAGGCTGCCCACTGTGGGCTTGGGCTTGGGCTCAGGCTCCGTCCCTTGCTTCCCTCCCCCCGGGGCCTCCATGGCCCAGCAGGTGGGACCCAATATGGCAGGGCAGAGTGGGGCAGGGAAGCTTCTTGCTGCTGCAAGCCCCACGCTGCCATAGCAAGGTTTCCCATGCCCGCCTAGCAGCAGCAGGGGTGACAGCATGGAGTTGCACCCCTAGCTGCTTTCAGGAGGGCAGGAGGCACCTCACCATGGCAGCGTGGAGCTCCTGGCAGTGGTATTTAACTTCCCCGCCTGACCCCACTCTGCCCTGCCATGCTGGGCCCTGCCCGCTGGGCCGTGGAGGCCCTGGGATGAAGGCAGCAGGGTGGGGAGCCTCAAGCCCACAGCGGGCAGCCTGCACCGGCCCCCCACAACAGGCTCCGCTCCAGTCGTGCCACCCATGGGGGAAGGGGAGCTGGACTCTGTGCTCCACTCCGCTGCAGCAACCGCCTCCCATGGGCAGCAGCAGGGGCTCTGGTGTTGCTGCAGGGGGCAGAGGCTGTGGGCCCTGGTTCCTGGCCCTGTAGATCTGGCAGCTGGGGGCCTACTTTGGCAGGGCTGGGGGGGCAGGGGGATGTCAGTGGGGAGTGAGGGGCACCAGCAGGGCCAGGGGGCTGTGGGGGGGAGTAAGGGGCAATGGCATGGGCAGGGGCATAGCATTGGCATATCAGGGCTGCTCAGTGCCACAAAGCAGTGGTGGGGGGAGGGGATGACAGCTGCAGCTGGACCCACATCCTGGTGAACAAAAAGGTACAAGGGAGCTCTGATTTGCCATGATAAAAAACACCAAATCAACACCAAAATGTATAGGTATTAAAATT